AGTATGTAGTAGGAATTCACTAGCCAATTGTGCTGCCTGGAAAGTCCTGATGGTATGTGTAATGTTTTCTTCTTTATTCCACATATAACCCCCCATGCTTGACATGGAATCTCTCACTCTTCAGGAATAGATCCTCATCAGGTATGTGTACTGCAGCAGAGCCCGGTTGGCTCCAAGCATTGGTCCTCTCTGTTCTGATCTGTTGGTTTTAGGATTACTTGAGGCTGTTATCAAGATAATTCAGCTATTTATAACAGTTGCATAAATATGGTTTTATAATAGCTGGTTCAGTGATATTAATAATTTATATTATCTTTCTTAATTAAAAAAAAAATCATGTTTGGTTGATTTACTAAAAAAAGCCTACAGCACCTGCTTGAGAATGAAAATGGCCTCTTAAGTAAATCATCTTCTCTGTGTTGTGTAATTCTTCAGGATAATGCTGAATAAGCAAAAACATAAACAAAACATTTTATGTTTGCAATAAGGCCTCTGGGAACTACCAACACACTGTTGGTATTATTCTTACATTTATTGTGTAATAAAATTAGAAGTACAGACTGTGCATTCTGGTTTCTACATCAACTTAATATGAAAATAAGCATCAAGTCTAAGTTCCTCCTTTGGTTACGAAAAAATCTAATTTAGTCAGCCGAGAGGTTATGTGCATATTATTAGTAATATAATTGTGTATATTATGCAATGACCTGTAACTACTGCTAGTTATAAATGTTGATACATGTATTTACAGAAATGCAAACTTCTGTAAATCTACTAAACCTACAGTGGCATAACAGTATTTTCTGTGCTAATATGGATCACTAAAGAGAGAACACTTTTGTTGAAAAAACTGATATACAGTGCAAGCCATTTTGTAAAGCATAACCCCAACCAAAGATGTGTTTAGTTTGGACCGAGCGGAGAAAAGGCAGGTACAAAATCTTTGTAATATAAGCAAGCGACTTGAATGTGATTTTTTGTTTGACTTTAATGTGATTTTACTTTGTTATATTGTGTTCTACAGATTGGTAAATAAAATCCCACTATGTGATATATAGTAATAATCATTTGGAGTTTGCATGTTCTCCCTGTGCTTGTGTGGGTTTCCTCTAAGTGTTCAACTAGTTGGCTCCTGACTATTGGCACCAGTATGTACAGTATGTACTGGTATGTATGCATATGAGATAGGGACCTTGAGGACACTAGCTAATGTGAATGTGCCATATGTAAAGTGCTGCATATTGTTGAGTGTCTTCTGACCTAAGGTCTCCATCTTCTGGCACTATATTGTCATTCAATTTATTGTACCTGTTGTGGCAGTGTGTTGCCCTGCTAGGGTTTAGAAAGAGGTTATGACCCAGTATTCTCAACCAGGTAAGTTGAGGGGTTCCAGGGAGCGTGTGTCATGCAGAGGAAATTGGCTTTTCAGTTTTCTTTTTGTTTAGTAAAGTTTATTTTAGGACTTGGACCCCAGAGATTTCAAAATGATCTGGGAGGGATGAAATCTACAATCCTGGGTCCATGTTTTTCAACCACCAGCACACTATTTGGTCTGGTGTGTGCTGGAATTTAGTGGTGACCTGACCATGCTTCTGGGCTCCGCCCTCCTGAGAAGTCCAGGAATCAAAAAAGTGGAAGCCAGAGGGGTGCATGTGTGCACTGGAATAGACAGAGATCCAAATCTGAGTTCCAGAGCAGCAAGGGGCTGCTAGCTATGCAGGGAGTGTTGGCAAGAAAATGGTCTATGGGAGACAGATAAGAGCCTAAAGTGGAAGGTCTGAGCAGCATTGCTGTATATGTAAGCCAGGAGGCTGAATATCTATTCCTTTACTAAAATGGATATTTCATTTTTGTGTTAATGGTGAAACCCCCTGCATGGGAAACCCATGAATTATGCTTTCTGGAACTTTGTTTGAACGTTCTTTTAAACAAAAGTGGGCCTACAAGCCCGTAAATGGCAATATTGGGTGTGGACTGTACTCACTGGATCTACACAACCCCAAAGTTTACAGTGTCTTATGATTTTCTTGTGCTGAAAGTGCTGTAAAAATTATTCTTTGGGCTGATGTCTTTGCAGTGGTCACTGCTGTGTTTATCTATAACTTTACGAATGCAATGCTATGATGGCAAAGGAAATTTGCTTTGAGATTTACATGATATATATTATTAGAAGCTGTCATTTTACACACCTGTTGCTTTGATAAATTTTGGGGATGATATCATGCTGGGCTTTTGTATTGTTTAGCATGTTTCAGTAGTCTGTGTCAGAGGGGTTGGCATTATCTGTTATGACTATGTATCAGCTGGGCAATCATTGGAGGTGGTGAGGTCTGGGAATGTGATAAATATTTTGTACCAACATTTTTAGTGAGTTATTTATTTTGGGATTTTTTCTATAGGAACTGTGTGCTGAAAAGCCTTCCCTGGAGGGAGAGCTCTGGAGCAGCCTGGACATATTGAGCCACTGCAGCCAGAAGGAAGGCACTTGCAGCGGTCAAAATGGATGTGAAGGAACATAAAAACACAAAAACCTTCTCTGCTAACCTTCAATTACAGTAAAAGAGTAGAACAAATAGAAATACTTTATCTCTGGAGGATCTAGACCCACTCTGCCATCATATTTGTGTCTAGGGCTTATTATAAATGTTTCTACAAGTTCTTTACAATATTGAAGACTTAAGTAGTTTTATGTTTACCTGGGTATTTTATATAAATCCTTTAATCTGGACAGCATACAATACCTACGAAGTTGGACACTGCAAAGTGCAATCACAGCATGGACAGTTACCCACTATTTTGCTGACATTTATACAACAAAATCTATGGTGAGTCTGTATTTTCTTCACCAGAAATTGCTTTGATATCTATGGTATGTTAGGCTTCCAAAACTCATGACTTCTGAGGTACTTCTTAATTGCTGAAGTCAACTGACACTTGCTTTCTGGAAAACTTTCATGATTCCACTAATATTATGGATCAATGCAGCTAACGATATAATGAGAATGGAAGAAATTCTGAAATTAGAGTCAAACTCCTGGGATAAGTTTAAATATATGTGGTCAATATGGATTTATTTCTCCTCTTCTGAATGCATGAAATGGAAAATCTAACTCTCCCCTTTTCTTGCTCCTCCCCCTACAACTGACATAGCAGATACAATCAACATATTATATATAATTTTTTTCAGAAACTGCTACCTTATGCCACTCTTCTTTTAAACCCTTATAGCATTGGTTCACAGATCAGGACTTCTACCTCTCGTCCTGCTATTCCTAGGAAATCCTAGGAAAGCACTGCCTAAGCCTGATAACAAAAAATGCTGCCTAAGCATGCAGAAAAATTGCTGCTTGAGCCCAGGGAGTTGCTTTTTACTTTAGGAGTCTAGGTAAATTTGTTAAAAAAAAGAAAGTAAATAGCCAGTGCAAGTTTACACAATTGTCCACTAACCCCCCATGTATACAATAATCAAAGCCTATATGATCTAATAAAAAAGAAAATGTCCATGGAAGAAGTAGAAGTTTGGCACCTACAGGTTTTAGTTGTAGAAAAAATGTTTTTGACTGGTGTGCAGTGTTAGAAGTTCCTTGCTGTCACTGGTTACCTGACAGCTGGTCTCGAGCTACTTTACCATGTGACATCAGTGCCAGCACTGTGATGTCAACATCTGATGAAAAATTAATCTGCCCTAGACTGCAGATCAATATCAATCAATATGACAGTCTTCTGTAAACTGCACTCTCCACCACCATGTTACCAAGCACACAATATACATTATAATGTATCCCTGACAATGTGGAAATCACTTTAGATGTAAAACTTTCAACTGTGCATGTCTGCAAAGTTTATTAGAAAGAGTGGGGGAAGGACAAACATTTACTCTTACATATTGGGTTTTAGTTTTGGGTTTTTTTTCATAGTTTTTACTTTACAGTTTAAAAGACACAGGTATGTGACAATTATACTTTTAAATTTCTGCTTATGTCAGTATTATTCTGATTGCTTCAGTGTGGAAATGTTTCTTGTTCTGTCAATATGGTGCAGATTGTGTCTCTGTGGACATGTTTCTGATTATGTCAGTACAGTTTTGATTATGTCTCTGGACAGGTTCCTGGCTGCACCAGATATTTCTTATGTTTTACCTTTTCCCGTTATTTGACCGATTCTGTATTTCAAAACAATTAACTTAACTTCAATTTTCTGTATTGTGATTATTTTTTCATGTGAAACTGTGTGTGTTTCAGGGTGAGGGGTCAACATCCGAAGCAGCTGGAGGGGATCAGTACAAGGTCACTAATCTAGGAAAGGAAAAAAAAAAATGTTCATTTAACCCTGACAATCCAAAACAAAAGTTGCATCATTGGAACAATTTCCTTTGTTTAACCACTAGCCTACAGGGCACTTATACCCCATTCCTGCCCAGGCCAATTTCCAGCTTTCAGCACTGTCACATTTTGAATGACAATTGCGTGGTCATGCAACATTGTACCCATATGAAATTTTTATCATTTTTTTTGAGACAGATAGAGCTTTCTTTTGGTGGTATTTAATCACCTTGGGGATTTTTATTTTTTCTTAAACAAACCAAAAACCCCTGAAAATTTTGAAAAAAAAAAAGTTTTTTCTTAGTTTTTGTTATACAATTTTGTAAATAAGTGAATTTTCTCCTTCATTGATGTGCGCTAATGAGGCTGCAGTGATGGGCACTGATAGGCTGCACTGATGGACACTGATAGGTGGCAGTGATGGGCACTGATGAGGAGGCACTGGTAGGTTGCACTGATGGGCATTGACAGGCATCACTGATGGGCACTGAAAGGCAGCACTGATACATAACACTGATACATGACACTGATATATAGCACTGATAGGCGGCACTGATAGGCAGCACTTACTGGCACTGATAGGCGGTACTGACTGGCACTGTTAGGTGGCACTGACTGGCACTGATAGGCGGCACTGACTGGCACTGATAGGCGACACTGACTGGCACTGATAGGTGGCACTGATTGGCAGCACTGATAGGTGGCACTGATTGGCATTGATAGGTGGCACTGACTGGCACTGATGGGTGACATTGAAAGGCAGCTCAGATGGGCACTAATATGTGGCATTGATGTGCACTGGTATGCACTGATATGTGGCATTGATGTGGCACTGATGGGCACTGGCACGTGGCACTGATGGGCACTGGCACGTGGCACTGATGAGCACTGACAGGTGGCACTTCTGGGGCCACACTGATCATCAGGGCACACTGATCATCAGTGCACTGATGATCTGTGTACATGTCCCCTCTGCGGAAAGTCGATTACCGGCTCTCCTCTCCTCTCGAGCTGTCAGCGTGACAGCTCGAGAGGAGAGAAATGCCGATAACCGGCATTTCCGTGTTTACATGTGATCAGCTGTGATTGGACACAGCTGGTCACATGACCGAGCCGACATCTTCGTCTCTTTCCGTGATCCGCTGTGTCCGTGGGACACAGCGGACCGGCGATCGCCACGCTGCGCGCTCCCTGAGCCGCGCATGCACAGTGAGAATGATAGGATGTCATATGACGTCCTATCAGAGCGAGAGAACCACCTTGCACCCGTCATTGTACTATAGGGCGGGCGGAAGGTGGTTAAGTTGCAATATTCACGAGCAACAGTTGTGACATACCATGGCTTTTGTAAATGTATACTGTATGTGCTGTCACTTCTGCAAGTCCAGTATGCGTGTTTATTCAATGAAATTCAATATTCAATGGAAATATATTCTGTATATTTCCTTCTAACACACACAAGCTGGATTATTTCGTGCAGGTCGTTTACAAGTATGTGCAATTAAAGATGACATTGCACTTATTTATTCTATTGACACAGTCAAGAGCTTTTTAAAATAGGTGTTTAAGAAACAATAAATTTGTATGCTTTTCTTTTTTAATTTAAGATTGTATTCTAAATGCAGAGAGAAAAATTTGTTTTTCCATTGCATTGCATTTCACCACGTGATAGCTTCTGAGTGAAAACTCAATCACATATAATTCATATTAATTATCTGTCACATTCCTGAAGTATTTATGGTTTTGTTCTCTGCTGTGCACTTTAATTCAAAGTTTTAGCAAGTTTTATTTGTCATATCACCCTGAGAGGTATTCTAGTTGTGACAGAATTAGATTTCATGTCTAAAATTATGCAGCAGCTGATTTAAGACATGATCAAGCCACTTCAGCCTAATGTTTTCATCCATAGCATTGTGGTAAATTCTGACCTTGTCAGATAAAGACAGCTGAATTATGATTCATATCCTGTGAAAAATCAAGGATCTCAGATAACAGATTCATTTTGTATGATGCTGAAAACTTTGTATTAACAAACCTTGTGCAAGTCAAACGTATCCATCATCCACTTATGCACGCTGCTTGTTTCTTCTCAGATTTCAGTAGCACTTTATGTGTATTCTGCAGTTCAAGCAGAAGAGTCTTTTTTAGTAGAATATTGACCACAATAAAACATATCAATACAATAAAGTGACTTTAATGTGCTTTGCCCATGCAGGGAATTTTAATGGTAGCTTCACCAGCTGCACAAACTCACTTTACTGTACCGTTTTTTACACTCCACCTGCCAGGAGTAAGGAGCACTACCCAATGTATTATGGTGGAGAATGTGACTAACTTTTCTTCCTCCAACATCCCAACACTGGTGTTTGGTGATTGGCTGCATAGGGGCTCATTACTGTCACATGGGATAAAAGAGGAAGGCCTACGCCCTTTGTAAGCTTTAGGTCACAATTGGTACTTACACAGGGGTTTCTTTCAGCATTATTAGTGACCGAACGAAGTAGCTAAAGAGAGACCATATAAGTATAAAGAGTTGGTGGGGCTGCCATTAAGGTTGCCAGTTGCTTTGCCTTGCACAGGTTCACTTTAAGGTGGCTAGAAACAATCATTTAATAAGTACACTAGCAGTATTGCATTCATTTGGAATATATACCTGGAAAGGCACTCTCTGCTAAGTAGTAATAAAATTCAGCATTGCCAAATCAAAGTGCCATGAATTAAAAGGATGGCTGCTAACTCATGTGACCTAAGGTCTACCCATAATCAAATGGTTATGAGGAGCACTGTGGATGTTCAATGTGTTTTCAAGCAGACAGGCAATGGGGGTTATTTACTGAAACTGGAGAATACATAATCTGGTGCAACTCTGCATAAAACCCAATCAGATTCTAGGTTTTATTGCTAAAGCCTAATTGAACAATCTAAAATTAGAAGCTGATTGGCTACCATGCAGAGCTGCACCAGATTCTGAGTGCACCAGTTTTGATAAACTTGAAGTGGAAAAAAGTGACATGAAGGCACAACACTGCGCAGCACTTCTAAACAGCAAGAAAAGCCTGCATATGTGAGGGAATGTCCCCGCAAGCATTAACACCTTGCAAATGATTTGAATAAACACAGTATGTGTGAATAAAAATGAAAAATGTTTTATTATTGTTGCAATATTGAGTGGATTATACTGTACATGGAAGAAGCCTTTTGTAATGCTTCACCACCCTTGGGTTGGGACGTTTTAAATGGAAATGATGTAAGAGGAAACTCAGAGACAGGGATTGTGGGTAGCAGAAGTAGTGCTTGATGAGAGAGGTCATGATGACTTTGTCTGTACACCGAAGAGCTATGACAAATCTGTGGGGGGAGGGGTTTAAACTTTTTTTCAATCAAGATTTTTGTCTTAAATTTTCTGATCATGCTTAAAAGTGGGAAAATAATTTTTGCTCATAGAGGATACTGTGTTCATCCACTGCTGTCCCAGTGTCTTTCTAAAGGTCCTTTTGCACATGTGTTTCAGCAGATGTATTACACTGAAAAGATTTTTGCCTATGTGTCGGCAGGTTCAGTCTACTTTCTCCACTTCAGGTGGCGCTCAACCACAGTGGCATTGCAGAAGGGAGAGGAAGACAGGAGGAACATGTTTCCTGGGTTGGTTTGATGCTGCTACACCATTTGACTCTGCTGGCCATCTTGGGTCAGGCAGAGTCTATTTAAGGCACTGGCTTCAGGGCTCAGCACTCATTTCTGAGGATTTGGTAGTGTAGGAGAAGGTTTTCCTTCCTGGAATCCCCCCATTTGGGTACAGACCAGCCAGGCTGTCAACACACGCAAGACCTGCTCCGTTGTACATTGCTATTACATCTGTGAGTCTGCTGGTCAAATGCCTTCCTGCTGAGTTGTTTGTGAAGTTTGAAGTTCTGTTTACTGCAATAGACTCTGTTTGCTGCACCTCCCCACACATGCACACACAGCTGTCCAAACCTTTGACTTTCTGCTGAATCGTGTTGGTTTCCTTCATTCATAAGCAGGAAATGAATTTTAGCCAGCAGAGGAAAGAATATTCAATGAGTTGTCTTTTAATTATCAGGATGTCTTCAGCTTTGCTTTTGTTGTTTGCACCATGACTCATGTTTAACTATTTCCCAAAAAGCAAGGTGATTATGAAGTGCCAGTTTTTGAAGGCATAAAATGTGTAAGACTTGTTTTCGGTCATGCATGCCTAACTTCCCAAAACATCCTTATCATATATGGCTGAAACAAAAGAGCAGCAAATGTGAACACATCACTGTGTGGCACAAGGAAGTGGCTATGATGATTGCTCCTATACTCCTTCCCACAACACGTTTGTTCCCATGTAATCAAAGAGAAAATTTCCTTAACTTGTATGTCTGTATTCACAGGTAACTAGCCTCTAGAGAGTCCTTCATATCCCCACATTTCCAGTTTATAATGGGAAAGCACAGTCATCAAAACCGTGTATAAGATTAGTCAAGTCACCTAAGTTGAGTGCAGTTTATGCCACAGCCATCTAAGGACATGTGTAAAGAAATCAGCCAAGGATTCATGCAAAACTGTAGTTTCCAAATTTGCATTGTGTATTTTTTTAGAAGACTAATAGTTTAAGGTGTACAGATTTTTCTCTTTTAGATGTTGGCTATATAAACTATACATAAAATACAAATTTTCAATACTTGAACACACACCGATAACACTACTTACTGTCACAAGTTAGCCTGCAGTTTCTTGTTTGTGTTCTTACCTCCTTGCTGCAGTGCTATTCCTGATCCCTTCTCATGTGTGTTTGTCTGTGCTCACCTACCTACCTACCGACCCCGGCTTCATTCTCTGACTGTGCATGTTCTCCGCCTGTCCTGACCTCGGCTAGTCTATTGGTTTTCCGTTTGTCTCCTCCCATTGTACTCTGCTCCTGCGAGTGGTCTCCTCATCCTCAACTGGGCGTACCCGGGGGCCGTGACCTGGTCCCAGCTTGCTGCAAGTGCATCCCCACCATCAGGGGCTCTGGTGAAGAAGCAGTCTAGGGCTTAGAATCCGCGCCCTGGGGAACCCCAAGTTGACTATCTACAAGGGCTCACTACCACAGGTGCTGACACATATTCTAAAATGCCTATACATGTATGCTTAAAATAACTTTAAAAAAAAAAAACATTCTATCCTGCAAAGGTGATGCTGTTGTCCATTTTACACCATGGACATTCCCAGTTGCCAACTGAAAAATATGTAGAATGAGGGAATGCATTGTTTGCATTTTTGCATTAATTAAAAAAATATGCTTTTCATTTATTCAGGTTTTTAAATGAATATCAGTGTCAGCCTGCACAGGGTTTAATAATATAAGTTAATGGAAAGCACTGTAGAACAGGCACCATTAAGTGCAATAGCATGCAGTATATCTACTGTAATACTTCTGCCCAACTTAGTGTTCCAATCAGGGGCGGACTGACAACTCATGGGGCCCCCGGGCAATAGGGGATCATGGGGCCCCTGTGTCTTTGCCCAAACTCAAAAAAGCCTATGAAAAAGGTACCAGGGGCGTCTCATAGGGCCCCCTACTGACCCCGGGCCCTCGGGCAGTGCCCAAGTTTCCAAATGGTCAGTCCGCTCCTGATTCCAATGCAAAAAAAATGTTTTAAAAGTCAGTATTTTCAGATGTTAAAGCTGGTTCCTGCCAAGCCAGTCAAATTGTGACCCATGTATGGCCAGCTTTAAACACATCCTTAAAATCACTGAACCCCCCACACACACAATACTCAGGCCTGAAGACGGGTTTCCCAGTCACCAAGCACTGTATTGTGGGCGGTGGGAGAGCACATGCCTAGGCCCCATCTCTCTATTCTGAAGTTCTTTCTGTGGGGGGGCTCCTATGGTTCTCTATGTAAACAAAATGTATAATAAAAGCATAATACTCAGAATGCTGTCATTGTATTGTATTATTTTCCCCTGGTACAGGATTACTGTAAGGAATAAACTACACAAATATAGCCTAAGACATAAATGACACATTGGGGTTTATTTACTAAAGCTGGAGAGTCCAAAATCAGACTCCCTTCTGCATAGAAACCAATCAGCTTCCAGGTTTCATTGCCAAAGCTTCATTGAACAAGCTGAGGTTAGAAGCTGATTGGTTTCTATGCAGAAGGGAGTCTGATTTTGGACTCTCC